TCATCTCAATAACTGCAATGGTCAAGATCAAATGTACCCATTTTGACTACTCTATCATCAGAAAAATACACAGTCACAGTCAACTCTATTTTTCCTAAATTAGATTTAGCAACAATGGAAGAACAGCAGACTCCTAACCTCTTGACTCCAGTGACCGAAGGTAAGAGATTGCAGTCTGCCATATTCTGTGATTGTAACCCTCTTGTTGTCTTTTATAGTTAAGTGTTGCCATTTTGGCCGGATTCTTCTTCGGAAGAATCATCTCAATAACTGCAATGGTCAAAATCAAATGTATACATTTTGACTACTCTATAATCAGCAATATTCACAGTAAACTCTATTTTTCCTAAATTACCTTTAACAGAAATGGAAAAGGAGCCGACTCCTATCAACTTGCCTCAAGCGCACCGAGGTAAGAGATTATTTTCAGTGGCAATCCTGATATTTAAAGTACAGACAAAACCATTCATTGGTTCACCTGGTATAGAAAGCTCATTCACTGTTGTTGTTTTTTGTATAACTCCATTCTCTGTGGCCTTGCTACTATACCAACAATATTCATAAGGAGATTCCACATTTTAGTTTTTTACATTTATTTCATCTGTCTGGGTATCTATCTTTTAATTTTGACCGATCACAACATGTGCAATTATTGATATTATATATATTATATTATATATATAGATGTCAAATGTCTTGTTGGTAATTTGTCTAAATTCCAAAACCAGTCAGTTCATCTTGCTGGACAGAGTGGTTTGATAGAGATGACCCCAGTGGAACTGGGGACTGGGAAACTCTCTTCCATCTTCACATGGCGAACCCAGGAAAGATCTGCCCAAACCCACTAGCTATTCAGGTCCAAACTCTAACTGGGCTCACTGTAGCTCAAACAGGGGATGTGATTTATAGGTAAGTTCTGACCGAGTATATATAGTTCTGATCGAGTATATATAATGTCAATGTGTTGAATGCAATGATTCATATTGTGTTCTACTGAATGTGATGATTTAATGTTGCTATATGATGTGTTTGTGAGACCAAACATATTTACACA